TTCAGTTGTCTAAAGCAGCCAGCTCACTTTACTGTTGAACAGATCTATTTAAAGCATTTTTTACTATTTAGCTAAAAAGACACTCCATACAATTCACAAATATTAATAAAAAAAAAAGGCATTGCCCAAAGCTTACAGTTTAAAAGACATGAAACTCAAATAAAAGAGATGGCCAGAGAAAAGAGAAAAAAATAATTAGTTCTTGCACCAGTTCTTCAATACACCTTTATGATTATAAACTAGGATCAAAACAGTGCAAAATGTTTTTGTTTTTGTTTTCTTTTTTCCTCTGCTTCCGCTGTTTAGCTGAATGGTGGAAGTACTACTCTGCCCAAGAAAAACTATTTGCATTTAACTCTGACTCTGCAACTCTATGCATGGCTATTCAAAAATAAATAATTGCAGATAAATTTATCTGATAATTCTAAATAAATGCCAGGTGAAAGTGGAAGCCCTTCAGTCCTGAAACATGTGTATCTAGCCATAACCCCAGTTTATTTTAATGGACTAAGTAGACCTGTTTAGGAGTGTAAAATTGCCCTAGATTAAGGGTGATAAATCTGAGGTTCTCCAGATGTTGTTGAATCTAGCAGTTATAGTGTTGCCAGTGGTGACAGTTAGGCTGTGGGTTATAGAGAGGCAACAAGTGGAGAAAAACAAGTTCCAGTACTGTTTCTTTTTAAAGAAGAGAGCACTGACCAAATTATTTTGACTTCTGTGTGTGTTCTTACCGAAGACTGCTTACTATAATTAAATGCCCTAGGTGAAGGGTAAGATCTCCAGCTGAACTCTGCTCTGACTCACAGCAGCAGTAACTAGCATGACCAGTGGTTGGGGATGATGGGTGTTGTAGCTCAAAAACATTTGGAGGGTCACTAGTTCCTCAATCCTGTCAAAGAAGGTAGTATTAGTTGGATTTATTCATGCTGAGGAATTGTTTAAGATGGTTTCTATATCCATCCCTAAAGATATGTTAAAATGAGAATGCACAAAAATAACAGGCAGCAAGTGGCAGTAGAACAAGTATAAAAAATAAATAAAATGTAATTAATAAATGAAAAGGACTGTTTGAGTAAATATCATAAGAAAACCAGGGAGTGATGCTTGGTCTGATCATTTAGGACAGCTGTTCCCAATCTTGGGCATTCCAGATGTGTTTCCATTATCTTCATATTCTGGTATCTCCAGCCTTTGGTCATGCTGGCGGCGGGGCTTATGGAATCTGGAGGATACCAGGCTAAGAAAAGCTTTTTAGGATAATTGCTTTGGTATTTTCCAATGAAAACGAAGAATCAACATACGAATGGGGAAACATGAAGATGAGCATCTACCACCAACCTATGACTTTCTTGGTCATCCTTCTCAAGTTAGCAGGATAACTTCTTCAGCAGTGGCCTTTTGTTCTCTGTGATACAGGGATATTATGTGAATAAGATGCCCTAAACAAGTTGACCAATTAATGAAAGGTCATGGGGA